CCACTGTCCGTCCATCTGTCCATCTCATCGAGGCTTCTCTCTTGCCAAGAGTGTCTCCTGGCACATCATCTCACCTTCTTTTTTTTTTTAAGTGTTTATTTCTTTTTAAGGGAGAGAACATGCTCAAGCACGGGGGGAGAGGGGCAGAGGGGGCGGGACAGGGGGTCTGAAACAGGGTCTGTGCTGACAGCTGTGAACCCAATGCAGGGCCCAAACTCACCAACCGTGATCATGACCTGAGCCAAAGTCACGAGCTTAACGGACTGAGCCCCCATGCGCCCCTCCTCCCGCCTTCCTAAGAGAGCGCGGATCTGGAAAGGAAAAGGCCAGCGTTGGAGTTGTGGAGCCCATCTTAGGCACGGCACTTAACCTCTGTTCTGTGTGCCCTCCTGTGAACGGACAGGGTTTTTACTAAATGATCGCCAGGACCGCTTCCTGCTCTGAGGTTCTGTGTGACACTGACCACGATACACGGAAACCTCACGGGGAGCAGTCCTTGCTGGCACCATTTCTCCTCTGCCATCTTGTGCACAGACCCCCTTCTTCCTCCACCCCTTGTAGGAGGGGATGGACGCAGAGAAACTGCGAGCCTGCCACGGACCACAGCAGAGTTCTCCAGTGTGAGCCACAACCTGCTGTGGCTCCCCAGGCACTCCCTGCGCCCGCCCCACCCCGCCGGGCGCCTCACCTGCCCCATCCGTCTATAATTTGGCTAAGCACTGGCACTGTCTCTAAAATCTGCAATTCTGCCATGTCCCCTTACTATCAGCGGGTGACCTTGGCTTCACAGACCGTGGACTCCCTCCACTTCCTGCCAAAAATACCTTCCAGGCCTGCCTGCCTCTGTCCTTACACTGTTCTCCTGTCCCTGAGAGAGGGGGGGTCCTTCTTCTCACCTCTGCTTCCCTCCGTCCTTCTGTATCACACCCCCAGGAGCGCCCTCAGACTTGTCCCCTTCACCCTTTGGGTTTTCAGCCCTTCCCTGCCTCCTAGCTCCTTGTTATCAACATTGAGAAACTTAAGTCTCTTCCGCCTTAAAAAAAAAAAGAAAGAAAGAAAAAGGAAAGGAAGGAACGAAGAAAGCAAGCAAGCAAAGGATGAAAAGAAAACATAAAAGAGAGAAAGAACAAAAGAAGAAAGCAAGCAAGCAAGCAAAGAAGAAAAGAAAACATAAAAGAGAAAAAGAAAAGGAAGGAAGGAGGGAAGGAGGAAAGGAAGGAAGGAGAAGGGAGGGGAAAAAACCCATCTCTTCTTTTAATCTCTAAAACACTCATAGTCCAGATTCACCTTCTATCTCCCTGACTACTCTCTTAATTAGCTCTGTCGTTGTTTAGTTTAAAAACAAAAGCAATACATCCTTAAGCAGTTGTGGTAGTGGGGCACTGGGGTGACTCAGTTGGTTAAGCTTTTGACTTCCCCTAGTGTCGTGATCTCATGGTTCATGAGTTCAAGCCCCGCATTGGGGCTCTCTGCTGTCAGGGCAGACCCTGCTTCAAGTCCTCTGTCCCCCCACCCCACCCCTTGCCCCTCCCCCTTCTCAAAAATCAATAAACATTAAAAAAAAACAGTTGTGATAATATTTGTCAGTCACCCTGGCTGTTTCCTGGTTCTACCCTCTGGCCCCACCCCACCTTGGACTTCCTGCTCCCTGAACAAAGCTGGTCTATTCCTGGACCTCAAGTACCCGGATCGCCTCCTTCAGTCCAAGCCTTCCCTTAAACCCAATCAACCTCCAAGTTCTCTGTCCCTTCTACCTCTTGAATCTATCCTTTCCTCCATTCTACTATTGCTGGCACCTCTGGGGCCATCACCAGCCACCCTTTCAGTGTCTATGACAACCTCTCATTCATCGTCCTTCCCTCCAATTAGACTGCTTTTGTTTAAGATCTAAAAATGCCTATGCTGGAGTGACAGATACATGCAGAAAGTTGTAACATCTAGCAAAGAATTGGGTTACAATGGTAACCTTTGGATTTGATCCTCATTCCCAAAACACTGCATTAGAAAGATTATATTGCCTTCAGTTTAGCTGGAGTATCAGGCACTTGAAAAGGGGCTAGGAATCAGTTTCTTCATCTGAAAAATAAGGGTTTGGACTAGACCAGTGCCTTGCAGAGTAGACCCATATCCTCAGGGTTTCTGACTCTGTAGGTCTGGGGTAGGGCCAGAAAATTTGCATTCCTAACAAGCTTCCACGTGATGGTGATGTTGTGGTCCACAGACCACAACAGACCACTCAGAATAGCAGTGCCCTAGATGATATCCACATATTTTAGTTTCTTCACCTGTGCCATCCAATATGGTAGCCACCAGATACGTGGCTATTGAAATTAATATTTGAATTAAATTAAACACTGAATTAAAATTCAGACATACTAGCCATATTTGAAGGGCTCAATGGCTACACATGGCTGGTGGCTACCATATTGGGCAGCGCAGAACATTTCCGTTATCACAGGAAGTCCTCTTGGACACGGCCACTTCCTCACAGACTCATGGGGAGAAAATTTTACTATAGAAGGAAAATACAGCATCCTTTGAAAGGTAAGTTCTTTCCGCACTCCTAAGGCCATGTTTGCACTCGGCTCTATTTCAGACCTGATTTTAAAGTCCCAATGTCCAACATTTTGCCACAGGAAACACATAGAGCCACAGGACGGGAGATGGATTTCTATGTGGGGAATAATGTCTGGGCACCACTGTGGGGCGTGGTTGATAAAGGGAAGGATATGGTGACTGAAGTCCTGTGAGTCCCCACAGGGCCCCCTCTGTATCTAATCTGCGAAGTATTCTAGAAATATCTACCTCACAGGGAGATATGTACAAAAACACTTGTAATTTACACCTACCTCAGTTTCCTTTTTCTTCTTCCTCTGTGCTCCCATAGTGCGTGATACACATTCTATTAGTTATGTGTTCTAGTTACATGTCTCCCCAGGTTGGGGACTGCTAGAGCACAAGGTAAGGCCCCTGACAGATTGGATTCCCCTTCAGCACCTCCATGCCAGGCTCATGGTCAAACAATGTGCAAATGATTAAGTCTCATGTTGAAGCCAAGTCACAGGTACAGTGTCTGGAAGGCTGTGTCATTGCCTGGCCCTCCACGACTGTTCTCATGCTGTCTTCAGCCTGGGGTGCCTGCTACCCCCATCTTGACCCACATCCCACCTTTGCTCACCCAACCGCACCTCTAGCTGGACAAAATCTAGTCGGTCTCCAATTATCTTCTCGAAGGTTGGCATACCAAATTAACTAATCTAGCTATGGAGTCAAATCCTGCCTCTACCACTGCCTTACCCAGGACCCTGGGTAATTTTTGCAATCTTGCTAGTCTTCATTTTCCTAATTTATAAATTGGGCAGGAAAACATCTTTCAGTTTTGATACAAGATTCACATACAAAAATATATGCAGAACATTTAGCAGAATGCCAAACATATAGCAAATGCTGGATTATGTCTTTGGACTAAAAACATTCATTTCTGGGGGTACCTGGGTGGCTCAGTCAGTTAAGTGTCCAACTTTGGCTCAGGTCATGATCTCACAGTTTGGGAGTTCAAGGCCCGTGTCGGGCTCTGTGCTGACAGCTCAGAGCCTGGAGCCTGCTTCAGATTCTGTGTCTCCCTCTCTTTCTGCCCTGCTCATGCTCTGTCTCTCTTTCTCTCTCTCTCCCCAAAATAAGCAAACATTAAACAAAATCTTTTAAAAAGCATCCATTTCTGGTCTCCAGGACTTGCCCTCTCAGGGACTCTGGTGGGTAAAGGCATGTTTTAACCCCTCTGGGAAATTCTCCATTCTGCAACAAAATCCAATCTTTTAGACACTTAGCCCTTCTGTTATTCTTTATTTCAAGTCATTCGTTTAGCAAACATTTACTGAGCTATTTGTCAGGCATTGTGCTAGATGCTGGACATACAAAGATCGTAGAATGCCCCTGCCTGGAGTTTATAATCTAGTGGGAAGTCCACTTTCTCTGGAAGCCTGCCTTACCCCACCTCAGGCTGGGAGCTACCACAAGGCTCAGAGGCTGCCCTCTATCCTGTACAGAACCACATTGTATTGCCTTTTTAACTCAAATAGCTGCTTGTCTTTGTTCTAAGAAAGCTAATTAATTTCATTTTCACGACAAACTTACATTGTTCCCATTTAACAAATGAGGAAACCGTAGCACGTTTTAAGGTCTTGTAAACTTAATGAGAGAAGCCAGTATTTGAGAACACATTTTATGACTCCAGCTTGACACTTTAAGTGGGTTTTTTTTTTTTTTTAACGTTTTATTTATTTCTGAGAGAGAGATGGAGACAGCATGAGCAGGGGAGGATCAGAGAGAGAGGGAGACACAGAATCTGAAGACAGGCTCCAGGCTCTGAGCTGTCAGCACAGAGCCCGACATGGGGCTCGAACCCACGGACCGTGAGATCATGACCTGAGCCGAAGTCGGACGCTTAACCGACTGAGCCACCCAGGCGCCCCAATACTTTAAGTGTCTTAAATGTTCTGTTTCCTCCATTGGAATATGAAATTGAGTCTGTGCCAAACTCCAATGGATACCTCCTGTGCCCACCACGATATCTGACACAGCAGATCATCATTTATGCATCAGATGAAAGAAAGGAAAGAAGAAAAAAGAAAGGAAAGCAAGAAAGAAGCTTGTAAGCAGACAGTTGCACCATGGTTTGGTTACCAACATTTACTAAGCATCAACACCGGGTAGGTGCCTGCGGTGTGCACAGGGAACTCAAGATAAATGAACATCCGTGCGCTCAGAAGTTCAACAAGTGTCGACAACCGCGTTCCCACCCCTCCCCCAAACACGCGCCCCCGCCGCCTCTTTCCTCGGGCTCCGTTCCCTCCTTCTGAAATTCCTGCTCCACCTCTTCCTCCGCTTTGCCATCCCTTCCGTGGATTTCACGTCCGGGCTTTCCCGCGCTCCGGCCGTGGGAGAGGGTTCGTGCCCGGGAGCGCTGCGGCGGCGGCAGGCATGCGCACTGGCGGCGGCGCACTGCGCATGCGGGAAGATGGCGGGCCTGGAGTCCTGAGAACCGTGGGTCACCCCGCTCTCCTCCGGTCCGCCCTGTAGCTCCCGAGGTCGTGGGGCAGTGGCGCGTTCGCTCGCGGGCCGGCCTCGGCAGCGGCGCCTCCAAGCAAGGCGCAAGGCCCCGTTCGTGCTCGGCCCCCGGCCCCCGGCGCGTTGGGGGCGGCGCCCGGCCGGAGCGGGAGAAGGCGGGAGAGCGCGCGGGGTGCGAGGCGCGGGGCGGCCGGCGGGGCAGCATGAGTCAGCAGCGGCCGGCGCGGAAACTGCCCAACCTGCTGGTGGACCCGGCGGAGGAGACGGTGCGCCGCCGGTGCCGCGACCCCATCAACGTGGAGGGCCTGCTGGTAAGCCCCGGGGGTGACTGGTGCCCGGAGCGCCCCCGACGCGGGGCGGCTCTGGGGCCCAGCCGCCTGCCCTCGTTCGCGGGGAAGCCGGGCCACCGTCGTCTGGGTCGGGAGCCGCCCCCAACCCCGGGCCAGGTTCCTGGCTGCTCCCCGGTCTCCCCGGCTCTCTCCCGCAGGCCGATCGGTCGTTCACTTAAACTCTCTCGCCTTCCCGTTCAACACTTGCTCCCAAATGGATTGTCAGGCTGATTGACTGTTACCTCGTGGCTACGGAGCACTGTTGGAGAACATGGCCCAGCTTCGCGTTATAAAGTCACGTTTTTCCACCAACTCTGGATTCTTGCCATATATCTGCAACGTATTTGGGTCCCCCCTCCCCTTTTAAGTTCTCGCTCATTCTCTTACTATCCTTCGGCCAGTGAAAACTTTGTCCACGCTCCGTTTCCCCACCCCACAGCTGCCCATTCAGCAAAGTAAGGAAGATTGCGCTCCCTCCCTGCGTAAGGTTAATTTCCTCTGTTCTTGCCCCAGACTAGAAGCAGTGTATTCTCCTTGGTTCTCAGAGGTGTTGGTGAATTCATCGTTTTCTGTTTCTCCCCATAGTTTCAACTTCTCTGCTTGAAACACTTGTTGAGGTTAATATAGCCTAATCCCCGCAGCGGCTCAGTCCTCAAAAATAGTTTGTGAGCATAGGCTCCTTTAATTCTTCATCGCAGCCCGGAGAGAGTACTATTCCTGTCCTCTGTCAAAATAGACTTGGAGATGTTAAGAGACTTGCCAGGGCTTAGAGAGTACCTGGGAAAGCCTCGGTTTAGCCTCACAGTGTCCGACCCCTGATGGTGGATTCTTGACTACTAAAACTGCATCCTAAATATTTCCCCTTCTTAAAAGAGACATCCCTTAATTCTAGCCGCCCTCTCATCTACTGTATCTTCTTCCCTCCAGACTTTTCCAGAAAAACTGTTTGCATTCACCGTGTCCACCTGCTCGCTGTTATTACCACTGGAGGGGGCGGGGGGCCTCTGGCCTCAGCACAGCGCCAAGACTGTCCTAAGCAAGGTCGCCAATAACCTTGTCAGTTCCGGCAGCTGTTTGACTCCTTAGCTCTGTAGTTTTGACACGACTGGTGTCTCGCCTTTGTTGGAAACTCACTTTTGAGTGGCTTCTCTGGTGCTACGTTCTCGTGGTGCTCCATGTAGTCATCTGGTGTCTCCCGTGCTCCCCTGCAAACTCCTCCTCTTCACATTCCTAACACGCCGGTGTTATTTGGGGTTTTCTTCTACCCTCCCTATGCATTCTTCGTGTGGGACCTCATTCACCGCTCCTAGGACTTCTTTCTTGGTACCGTCTGTATTGGTCGTGTTCATCTCTGAGAACTTGATACAAGCTCTGAACTCTCACCATGGAAAAACCACTTACTTTTGTGTTTAATATCAGAAGATACACACATCCCTTGAAGCCTTCGATATTCTTATCTACTTTGGTAGTTTCGGTTACCATATCATGATAACGCCCAGATCTATAAATCCAGCTCCGAGCTTTCCAACTGTGCATTAGACGCCTCTCCTTAGATCTCATACTCCTATGAGCATTGAATTCATTATCACCTTGCCTCAGCAGGCAACAACTTTGCTGTTTCTTAGCTTCAGAAATGTCACCACACCCATCATATTGCCCGAACTAGCATCTTAGGCATCATCCTTGCCTTTACCCTTTTCCAAACTGACCCCCTCTCCCCTCCCAATCTAATTAAAATGAATCACCAATATTTGTCACCTCTAACCATCTATCTTTCAGATCGTTGCAATGTTTTCCTGCTTCTGGTCTAGCCCCCAGACCTTTCTGTATATTCTCCACATAATAACGATCTGTAATAGTCTTTAAAGCTTAATTCTGATCGTGTTGTTTGGTTTAATCGATCATGGTTCCCTAGTGCTCTCGGAATAGAAACATCTTAATATAATCAAGCTCCTGGTTTTATCTTTTTTGAACTGCCTGTTGTTATGTTGTTACTAGATTTCTTCTTTTTTTTTTTTTTAATATTTTTTATTTATTTCTAGGAGAGAGAGAGACAGCGTGAGCAGGGGAGGGTCAGAGAGAGAGGGAGTCGCAGACTGAAACAGGCTCCAGGCTCTGAGCTGGCAGTCAGCACAGAGCCCGACGCGGGGCTCGAACCCACGAACCGCGAGATCATGACCTAAGCGAAAGTCGGACGCTTAACCGACTAAGCCACCCAGGCGCCCCTAGATTTCTAAATTTACATATTCTTTTGTACCCCTACATGTCCGTACTCTCCCTTCCAAAAAAGCCCACTTTTCCTTGTTACCTGCCCTGGTCTTCAGGTCTAGATGTATAGGTCCCTTGTCTGAAGCCTTTCCTGACATCTCAAGACCAAGTTAGGCACTCCTTTGGGGCTCCTAAAGCACCCCGTGCTTACCCTGCCTTTGCAGAGGGTGGCTCTTAGGTCCCTGCGTGCAGTGACTCTGTCCACTTCATTGTTACGTCCACAGCGGTGTGGTACCTCTCACACAAAGATTTGGTATAGTTCTTGGATGGATGAAGTAGGTGCTCTTAAATGTTTGACCGTGTGTTTATTTTTCTGCTTGTAAAATGGTCGTGTAAACAACCATCTCGGTTTTTTAAGTGTATGCACAAATTAGTTATTGTATATCTGAGTGTCTGATGTTCCCCTGGTAAATGGCTTGAAGACTGTTCGAATTTAGAGGAGGGAGAAGGTAGGATTGGTTGGAGGTGGAACTTAGCCTGCACACTGAAAAGTAAGGAAGATTTGAATGCAAACCCCTTGGATACAGGTCTGTTTCCAAAGAGCCCTTAAAGGAATATGACTCCCCCAAACAGGCGGTCAGTAGAAGGAGGCATCTGTATAGAAGTTCTTAACCAGTTTACAGGCAGTGCTTAAGATTTTAGTCCATACAACTGACCTTTTCTCCTTTCTTTGTCCTCCGAGATCTCAAGTTTTCAATTACTGTGTGGTCTTCATATGTGGGACTTGGAGCACTAGTGAAAATAGCCTCGAATGCGCCGACTTGCCTGTCTGGAGCTTCCGGTTCTAGAAAGCCGTGTGCACCCAGATCACTCAGAGCTTCTGGTTCTAGAAAGCCATGTGTGCCCAGATCACCTGTACTGATTTTTTGAGTTTGGCAGCCTCTACCTTTTCCATTCGCTTCCCAGCTGAGCTACAAACGGGCTAAGTATTCAGTCTGAACACATGGGGCACAGAAACCGTTTGGGGATTGAAAGAGAAAGTTCTTAGGTCGCCAGTCTTGAGATATGACTACTACTGAGCTGTCCTAGACACCCCTGAGGGAAATTGCTGGAGAGGGAACCCTCAGCGACACTTGGAGGAGTGGAAACACAGCGCCCCCACCGTGGGGCAGAACGAGAGGCCGCCACCTCCGCGCTGGCACCTGGGCAGCTTAGTCCCAGAGAAATGTGACGACTGCCGTCATAAAGATGCCGACAAAGTCCGGAGTAAGTGACCTGCCCAGGAATCACTTTGAAAAGGCTCCCGTTGGCCAAATCTGGGACAGGCTGAGCCTCAAAAGAACAGATTTTATACTCAAAGAATAAAATCAGAATCTAGTTCTTGAAACCCAGCTGAGTCCAGCTCCTCCGGACCTTCAGGCCAGTGAAACTAAAAAGACCATTATCTGATCCCCCTCCCTCCACACCCAGCCCACGGCGGTGGGACAGACAGGGTAACTGCTGCAGACATCCCTGTACCTTGAGGAGGAGACGGGAACCACAGGCGAGTAACTGGTCCAGAGCAATTCCGAGACTCAGCTTGGCAAATGTTAGAAATTTCTTGGTTGGGTTCCAGGGCCTGGGGACGGTTCTCTCCCAGCTCAGCTCTCTGGGCTGTGGGTTCCACTGTGTGTCTTCCTTTCTTTTCCATGAAAGGAAATGCCTATTTGTAGCAGAGTAATTTTCTCAGCCTGCTTCCTGGCAGTAGAATTTGGGGTGTTGAGTAACCTCTTAACGATGTCACCCACCTGTGTCCCTTTTAGTCCAAGCTGACCGTGCTTTCGCTGATCCCGTTCTCAGACACAGTGTGGACCTGCGCTGAGTCCCACTGTGGCCCAGTCAGCAGACAAAATCCCAGCTTTCTTCACGATAAACCCTTCTCTGCCGTGGGCTCCTGCTGGAATGGCTGGTGGACGGTGCCCCACGTCTCCCGAGAGGCCCTGTCCTTGATTTGGAGGATCTGTGGGCCTCGTCCTTCATCTCCGTCGAGGCCTTGTGTGTGACCGCAGGGCGCTCCGAGGCGCTGGCCTTGACCTACCTGCCGTCTCACCCCAAAGCTGTGCAGTCACACTCTCCCCGTTAGGTTATGCTTTTGATTTGGTCTTTCTCGGAAGTCATTTCTTACTCCGAACTTCTGGAGAAGCTGAGAACTGTTAAAGCCCTTAAGTCCTGGCTCCTTCTTGTTTCACAGTCCCTCTCTCGATCTCTCTCTCTCTCATTCTGTGCGCTGCAGGGAGGAACAGGCGCCACCGTCAGTACGTTGTAGGGAGATCGCGGATCGCCGGCCCGTTAGTGTCTTCCGCTCCCCGCGTATCTGCAGTGGCCGGTGAGCGTCCTGTCCCAGCGCGGCGAAGGTCTCCCTTCTGGTGTCGGGCGGCGCAGTCCTCGCATCCTTTTGAACCTTCTCTGTGGCGCGCCCTCGGAGTCCAGGGTTCTCCCGACAGTCTCTCTGAGAGCTGTGAAGTGTGAACAGACTTTTCGGTGGTCGTGTCAGAACGTCCTTGAGATGCACACGGAGCGACCTGAGCGTCTGCCCTCCCCTCGGTTGACGCAGGGAAAACATTGTGTCTCGAGAACGAAGCGGTAAAGCCGGTAGTCAAACGTGAACTTGGGGGATTCGCATGAAGGGCCCGCAGCGATTCTCGGCGCTCCTGCGTCTTATGAATGCTGGGGCGACTCCAAGGCGAACAGAACACGGGTTTCCCGGAGAGGAGCTCGGACCCTCCTGCTGAGAGGGGCCTCGGTGCCGCCTCCCCCTGCGGGGGCCCCGTCCAGGCCGTGTCCTGGTTCCGCTGCCGGGTCCGCACAAGAGAGCAGAGCCTGGTCGGTCTTGTCTCCATCCAGGCCCGAGGCCGAGGCCCGGGGACCTCAGTAACGTGGGGCCAAGTGCAGGGGTGGCCACGTTGCACCTACGTTTTCCTTTTTTTAAACAGCTCGCTAACTTTTCTGTGAGGAAACGTCTATTCTGATTTTAAAGCCACTTTAGAAGGAGTCCTGTCAAGTCCCTTCCCCTGGAAGAGCTCCTGGCCTCCTTCCTGGGATCCGTTTACCAAGGTTCGAGGCGGCGGCTGAGGTCGCCCCACGGTCGGTGTTGTGTTAGGAGGCGGAAACGGCCCCGCGGCGCCTCTCAGTGACCTGCCGATGCGAGAGGGCGTCTTCGCCCCGGGTCCCCGGGTCTGAAATGCTCCTTGTTTCACAGTTCGGACGTACTTACTAGTCGAAGCCATCTGGAACACAGTATGCTTTCAACGTCAGATCTTAGCAAATATTTGCCAGGAGCTCAGATGTGCCAGGCTCTGTTCCCGCTCTGAGCGCAAAATGATAACCATCTCTTACGCTAGCAGAGGGTTTCAGTTTACAAAATTTCTTCTAATTCACAGCAGCTTGGAAAATAGGCAGTAAAATTCGGTCGGCACACTGGGTTACAGACAAAGACCAGGGCCTCTCAGTGCCTACACAGTCATGTAACTGGTGGTCCTGAACCTGGGCTTGAGCCGAGAACGGTTTTCAGTATAAAGGAGGTGAATGTGTCATCACTGTGGATGCTCCGGAAGTCTCCAGAATCATGCGCCTGTAGGACTTACACGTGCCGAGCTGTCTGCCCCCAAGGGGCCACGATACTGTTGTGATTCCTCCGAGATGAAGAGATGGTGTTTTCACAGTCAAAAGGAAAAAAAAAAAGAACGGGTGCTTTGGGGTCTGCTTTCCCGCAGGTCTCGGTGTAGACAGCAGGGGGTGTGGCTCACTTGTGGCGAAGAGAGTCCTTCCTCCTGCTGCCGGGCCTCCTCGAGGCCTTATCCCGGTGCCAGGCTGAGAGAGGCGGCGGTCTCTGTAAGAGGACTTGAGAGCGCCTAAAAGAGGCCCTTCTGGAACGTGGTGGCAGATACTGAGCAGCCAGTTAGGATGCGGGCAATACTCGTGTGTGGGACTTGGCCTTGTTCCTCTCAGTGAAGAACCGAAGTCTGTCTCTAGTGTGGCACCCTTGAGCTCAGCGGCATTAACCCTTTCTGTGTTTTCTGGGTACTTAGGAATATATAACGATTTAGGGTATTTGTTTATACATTTCACAGCAATGTGATGAAGATGGATTATTGGTCGTTTAAGAATCTTGCCACAGTAGGGCGTCTGGGTGGCTCAGTCGGTTAGGCGTCCGACTTCGGCTCAGGTCAAGATCTCGTGGTCCGTGGGTCCGAGCCCCGCATCAAGCTCTGTGCTGACAGCTCAGAGCCTGGAGCCTCCTTCGGATTCTGTGTCTCCCTATCTCTCTGCCCCTCCCCGGCTCGTGCTTTGTCTCTGTCTGTCCCAGAAGTAAATAAACTTAAAAAAAAAAAAGAATCTTGCCACAGTAAAGTCTGTCTCGTACAATAGCAGCAAAAGGGCTGAATGTAAAAATAGCGGTGACTGTGGGTCACATACATCTGTGTCTGACTTTAACAGGACTGCCCATCAGTGTTTCCATGCCAGGTACCGTGTTTGCGAGGCACTGTCATCGGCAGAGCTGGTGGGGGACGTCCCTCCCCTGAGACCCTGCATTCCCGGCTCTGGTCGTGCCCGCCCCGGCGGGTCTACGTTTCCCCTTAGATCCTCACAGCTGAGTTCATTTCACAGCAGAACTCCGTTTCGGTGGAATCAGTCTGTCCGAAGTCGCTTTGCTAAGAGACGCTATAATCTCGTCCTAGATGATTGGGAATCATCGGGCCAAAGGTTTGGTAGGAACGCTGAGGTGCACAGAGAGCTGACCGTGCCCCCCAGGCTTCGCGCCATTGCCACCACACTGACGTTCCTAAACCCCGAGCCTGCTGTGCCGCGTTCTTATTCGGAAATCTGCGGAGATGCCTCACCGGTCATGACACGGGGTGCAGACTCCTCAGCATGACTTCGTGTCTGTGTAGCGGGCGGCTCGCATGCCCTTCCCCGAGGTGTCAGGTCAGGTTTGCACCCACCCCGCAGGCAGCCGTGCAGAAGGTGCCGTGCGATGGAAGCTTCCATACCTTTGTTCGGTCCATGTCCTGCACTGGGAGTCCTGTCTCTCCCTCCTTCTTGAAGCTCCCGCAGGTTCAGGCAAAATCTGGCTTGTCCTTCAAGGCCCAGCTGGGGATCCCCTTCCTGGTGACTCCTGTGATATCCCCCTCTGGGCGCATGCACGGTATTCCTGCCGATTCTTCCCTCATCCCAGGTTTGCTGCAGCCAGTTTGGGGGCGGGTTTTTCACTTAGACGAGAGCCGAACCCGATCACAGCCTGTCTGGAGGCTCCTGTCATCCCTGTAGTTTGTTGTAAGCGTGAGGCTAGCACAGGCTTCTGTTTCCATGGCTTTATCTAAATGTTTTATTTATTTCTTGCAAAAATAATTTCTAAATGTATCACAGTTGTTTTACTACCAGTTTATGTAACTTCATAGCTTCCAAACGCCTGTAGGACGCGAGTGTTGGTAGTGGGGCTGGTACTCGTTTGCTGGTTGTGTGAAGAATTTAAAAGAGTTTGTTTTTCTTTTAATCTAGTACCGAAGTTTCTACTTATGGAGCATATGTTATTTTCCATTACTAGAAATGCTGCTGGGGGGGCACCTGGGTGGCTCAGTTGGTTCAGCGTCTGACTCTTATTTTCGGTTCAGGTCATGATCCCAAGATCGTGGGATCAAGCCCCCAAGTTGGGCTCCAAGCTAGACATGGAGTCTGCTTGAGATTCTCTCTGTCTCTCTCTCTGTCTCTCTCTCTCTCTCCCTCTCTCTCTCCCTCCCTCCCTCCCTCCCTGCCCTCCCCCCCCATGCCCACATGCTCGCTCTGTCTCAAAATAAATGAAGAAAAATAATAATACATGTAAGTAATTTTTAACTCAGGAAATAAATGCCGTTTTTACATTAATTATAATGGGAATGCATGGCCACCCGTGAAAGCTTCCGAGCATACTTTTTAGAGCCGCTTCCACTCACCCGGCAGGGGTGAACGTTGGCTGGCTTAGACGTTTCCCCCGCCTCTACGGAGCTCTCCAGGGTCGGGACCGTGTCCTCCTCATCTTTGTCATCCTTCTCATCCTCAGTATCTGATACAGATGATAGGCCAGTGCCCGTTCAGTCATGACTTCTCATCCATGTTTCTCCGCCCCCCCCGTTCACTGCCACCTCCATACTCACCGAAGCCCGTGCAGCGTTTGAGACCTAACTCTATGAACATGGCCAGTTGTGAGTACAGGCACGGTGGATACAGCTTGGGAAGAAGGAGTGCTTTTCTCGCACCCAAACTATTACCCCAGGGTGAATAAAATCCTCTGTGTTATCCAGTAAATGCTGTTCATTTGCATTTTTTTCATTTGCATCACTGTTTTTAAGTTACTAATTTAAATTTCTGTATTTTCTTCTTTCCAGCCATCAAAAATAAGGATTAACTTAGAAGATAATGTACAGTACGTGTCCATGAGAAGTAAGTTGATTTCTATGTAGGTTTTAGGTTTTGTAGTTTGAGCTTCATATGGTTTAAATGATTTATTTTAAGTATAAGTTGATTCAAAACTGAAGTAAGATACATTGTGTGTTGATTGTCAGCACAACTTGTGAGTTGTGGGCTGAATAAGGTGCACAAATGTCAGTTTATTTTTTGCTGCTTTGGGAAGTGTCATTTTAAAAATGGAATGGGTTCAGGGCGACTTGGTGGCTCAGTGGGTTGAGCGTCCAACTCTTGATTTCAGCTCAGGTCATGAACTCACGGTTTGTGAGAGCGAACCCTGCATTGGGCTCTGTGCTGACAGTGTGGACGCTGCTTGGGATTCTGTTTCCTATCTCTCTCTCTCTGCCTCCCATGTGCGCACACACTCTGAATGAATGAATGAATGAATGATCTGTGTTTAAGGGTGTTTTCTCGAAGTTCTGTGAGAGCCATTACTTGTTGCTGTCAGCAGAATTGAAGGCCATTGACAACAGGCAGGAGAACCAGTCTTCTGCCCTCCAGATTTCCTGGGATTCCCTTTGCTGTCTCCCACCTCTGCTGGGGACCAGGGCGTGGAGTCAGTTAAAGGAAATGCAGTGCCTGCTGCTCTGGGTCCCTGTCCTTCTGGAAATTGTAACCATAGAAGGCCCCACCCCTGATTTTCTCTTGATGTGGTCCTAACCGCAGTGGACAGACAGTGTGTAGATCCCGTATCAGCCCTGATTTCTCCTCTGCCCCCCCCACAATCTCACCCAGAGTCCGTCCATTTTACCTTTGAAGCGTGTCCCCTGCCTGCCCCACAGTAACGTCTCACATACATCAAGCTGGTACGGTGCGAGCTGTGTGAAGCTCTTTGCATGGATTATCAACACAACCCTTTCAAATATAGGTTTAGATTTATTATATATAAAATAGGAGTTATTTTTCATCACTGAGGCCCAGCCACGTAACTTGCTCATTGAGGATTCAATGCCACACGTCTCTGACTTCCCCTCTTTTGTGAGCCCTGGGCTAGACTCCTGCTCCCAGTGTGGACTCCCCGGGTCCCCCGCCTGCAGCGGCGGGGTAGCATCCTGCATGGGTTGTGTGTTCTGGGCTCTTCCACGCTGCAGCCGCTGTGATTTTCCCAACAGAGAAATGGGCTTGCGATCTCACCCAACCTGGAATTCTCCCACAGTGTTCTGTTACACACAGAGAAAACTCCGAACCCTCATTTATCTGGATTACATTTATGAGCCACCTCATCTCCTTAAAAGGCACGAGGCAAAAGAGGAGGGCCGGGTGGGAGGACAGGGCCCTTGCACGTCGTTTCTCGCTCTGCTGGCCGCCTGGGCCTGTGGCTGCCGCCTTCACCCACTGCTGAACTCTGAACTCTGCCTGCTGTGGCCCCACTCTGCCTGCTCTCGGACACGGCACTCTCTCCTTGTGGGCTGGCTCCTCTGGTCACCCAGCCCCTTGCCCTTTGCCGAGAGGGGAGACTGCTTCCTCTTGGCCTTCGTGTCCTCTGTCCCCGCACCCCTTTCACGAGGACTTCCTTACTTCCTGCCCCAGTTCTGTTTCTTAGCATCTTCTCAGGTAGCTTAGACACCTCTCAGCACCGAGCTCAGGACATTTGGAGAGTCCCTTAATAGCTAGGGGACATCTTCAGTTTGAAGACCTTTTTAAATCATGTGTATGTTGCTTCAGCCACTGTCCTATCCAGGTTTTCAGTTAACATCTTTTCTTTCTACACTGACTAACATTCTGGGAACATAGTATCCTGAGCTTGTAAACCCATGTTTTGTCAGTCCTCGAGTGATTAGATTTATGCTGTCTCAAGCGCCTGGGTGGCTCAGTTAGGTAAGCATCAGACTCTTGCTTTGGGCTCAGGTCACAATCTCACAGGCGTGGGGTCAAGCCCCGTGTTGGGCCTCACGCCAAGCATGGAGCCTGCTTGGGATTCTCTCTCTCCCTCTTCCACCCCTCCCCAACCTGTGCTCTTGTTCGCTCGCTCTCAAAATAGATAAGTAAACATTAAAAAAACCCTCTAAAGTTAGAATTTCTCTTTTGTAGTCTCCAGCGGGTTCTGGTAGACTTCTAATGTAAATGAAGTTTTAGTCCATGTATAATCCCATTTCATCTGCAGCATAGGTGTGGCCTCCACAGAGGAGATATGTGTGTTATCAAATACATGCTTTTGTTCTTGGGGTAACCACCAGTGGTCTTTAAACTGAACGTGACGTTGTAGAGATTCTGGATACAGGGATCGCCGACTGAAGATAGTATGATCATTTCTTCTGAAGTATACTTGCAGCTGTACGCTGTGAAAGCAGCAAAAAGGAGAGATCATATTCTCCACACCAAACGGACAGCTCCATGATTCCTAGAACTATTTACTCTGCACACCAAACTATGAGAACTTGTTTTTAGTATCAAATTAGGGAAAGATGAAAGGAAAATAATACTCTGTTCCAAGGCCCTCACACTGTGAAATTAGTAGGACTCCCCTCCCCCGCCGCCACCCCCCATAGCAGGTATAACGGCACCTGTACACACACCTTAAAGTACCCTTTTACCCATCAGTTCCAAACCGCAGAACTTACCGGAAGGAAACAAAGATGCACACAGAAATTTAGCTGTAAGGAGATTTATTCAAGTATTGGGCAAAATAACAAAGTTGGAGACCATTGGAATTTCTAGGATTGGGGTAAGTGAAAGCAAATACTCCATGAAGTGAAATGCCACGCAGCCCTTCAGAATAATGTTGAAATACATTTGTTGGCAAGTAAGATGTTCACAATGTTGAGTTAAAACAACATGTTAGAGGATAGTCTGTTCTTTTGTTTTTAAGTCATGTATACATATTGACAGCTCCATTTGTGTGTGTGTGCGTGTGTGTGTTTGAGGGCGCAGGGTGTGAAAGTCATGTATACATATTGACAGCTCCGTGTGTGTGTGTGTGTGTGTGTATGTGTGTGTGTGTGTGTTTGAGGGTGCAAGATGTGAAAGTCATGGATACATATTGACAGGTGTGTGTGTGTGTGTGTGTGTGTGCAGGGCGTAAAAGTCATGTATACATATTGACAGGTGTGTGTGTGTGTGTGCGTGCGTGCGTGTGCGTGCGAGGGCGCAGGGTGTGTATGAAAACCCAAAATCATAGTAGGTGAGAGAGGGAGGGAATAAAGATACTTTTTCCCCCTTCATCTGCTTCTCTGATAACATAAGCTAGTGAGTATTTAAAAATGGGATAATAATCAGTTTTAAGACTTCTGCTTTTCCTTAAGATACGTCATAAATATTCTAATGGAAGAGTAATTTGAGCTCTTTCAGAAACTTCCATCAGGGTTACACTGTGACGTGTACGGGAACATTTTAAGTATTGAAAAGAAAAAGCCAAGTCTCTGGCTTTGCTTTTATAAAGAATTTCTTGGGGCTTTTGGGTGGCTCAGTCAGCTAAACATCTGACTCTTGATCTCGGCTCAGGTCATGATCTCACAATTTGTGAGTTCAATCTCCGTGTTGGGCTCTGTACTCAGTGCAGAATCTGCTTGGGATTTTCTCTCTTTCTCTCCCCCCACTCCCTGTCTCTGTCCTTCCCCTGCTCATGCCCTCTCTGTCTCTCAAAATAAATAAACTTAAAAAAAAATTCTAATCCTATACCTGAGAGTGATGTGGGTACAAACTCAAACTTTCCAGTTTATGTTTGAGAAGATGCCACAGAATCCTACCAATTCCCGGGTCCGGGGGACCTGGCTCCGTGTTTCAGATACTCTGTTAAGTCTGCAGCCTTTGCTTCCCTGGCATAGGTGACACATTTTTACCCGGCGTGAGAAGTCTATTTCATAAAGATTAACTATGATGTGTCCAATGTGTAGAACTTTGGGGGGAGTCTAGGCTTACTGAGGAAATAAATTATTTTAAATTATTTTTTTTAATAAACTGAGAAAGAAATGCTATAGAGAATTTTACAAGTTTGTTTGTTTTGTTTCCCAGAAACTCTAAAATTGAAGAGACCTCGTTTTGATGTATCTCTGGTTTATTTAACTCGAAAATTTATGGATCTTGTCAGATCGGCTCCTGGGGGGATTCTCGACTTAAACAAGGTCGCCACAAAACTGGGCGTGCGGAAACGAAGAGTATACGACATCACCAATGTCTTAGATGGGATCGATCTCGTTGAAAAAAAGTCTAAGAACCATATACGATGGATGTGAGTTGGCTTTGAACTTGTCATGGCTTTGTTTTTTTCCTTCTCATTAAGTGACAATATTAGGTTTGAGACTAACTAGGGATTTGTAGTGTTTTGACAGGAGAAAACAAAGTAAGATAGGGCTTCTTGTTAAAAAAGGATTCTATAAAAATTTTGTACATTCGTTGTCCCACAAGGTACATAAATATTTTTTCCTACTTAGGACTAAATAAAAGCCATAGACCTAGAATATCATTCTGATAGTCTGGAAAAGTTAGATGGAATAATAATTGGTTTTCAGACTTTTGCTTTTCAAGATCATAAGAAGATCCTAAACATCTGATTGTTTAGGAAACTTTTTCCAGTTGGTTATTGCTATCAGGAGGAAATTCGTTAAGGTCATAAGGCAATGTAAGGTGATAAAACACTTAGAGGCTTCCTGCCCCAGGGGTTGTAATTCATTTGTTGGGGGGGGGAGGTGCAGGGGCCAGGAATCTCCTCTAACCTTAACTACCCCAGGTGGTTATGAGTCCAATGGACTGTGGGTCCATGCTGCCCTGAATGTAAAAACAAAAGGCGTGTCTTAGAGGCAGTTGCTAAAGACTTTATTTTTGACGAGGAAGGATCCCATGGAGAAAAGACTGGGAGCATAGACGTAGATATGCACACGGCTGTGTGTGCATATGTGCAGAAGAAAGCTGTTAATGCTTCAACAGGCACATGTTTTGGAGCAGTAAGAAACAGTTCCAGTTTCTAAGTACTTGTGAATACATTTCATTTCAGGCAAATGACAGATCTCCCAGCAAAGGTCATGAAATGGTTTTAAGTAATGAACTTTGCTGATAGAGGAAAGGGGTTCATAAAGGAAGCAGTTTTTTTCAGCAGTACAGAAGTGCAGATTGAATTCTAGTCTGAACATGTTTGCTGAATAACATTAAATAACACTTTAGGGGCTAATATCACATTGCATTCCATATCACTAACTGGAATCAGATTTGAAAACTAGCCAGCAAAAGGGAAAGGGGTAACAGCCTTTTTCCTCTTTATTTTTCATAAAGAAGAAAAACCATGAATATCAGTGGCCCAGGTCAGATCATAGCACTGTGATAAGGTAGACAGTAATAGCTAAAGAAAATACATCTTTTAAGAATAATCAATGTCATCATTATGTTCAGCTAGAACCAAATAGAATATGCACCTGCGGGAACAGTGCTCAGTTTTAGTAGAGGAGCTGTCACTGTCATGTTAGTCAGAACTTGTTTGTCATAGGGACTCAAGGATTGTAACTTAGCAGAAGCCATGCTGTACGTGGCAGAGCCGGAGCTGAACTAGGTCTCCTGGACCCCTGTGCACGTGGCCTGCTTGCCCCCTGCTCTGACTCTCCATCAAGCTCTGATGGTCTGTTGGGTGTTTTCAGACCCCCGTGTAAGAGACCAGAAATGGGGACGAGAAGCAGGGTAAGTGTAGGAAGGATAGTGGTCTGGAATTAAGGCAGGTCAGGAGTGAAGCTGAGGACCTAGTTTTGTTTGTCATTTTGGGAAATGCCTGATGTCATCTTTGGGAGAAGTTCCAGTAACCTCATGTGTATCATTCTGAATCTGCTAGAGGTCACTGACGGGGAGCTTTTTTTTTTTTTTTTTTTTTTTTAAATACCTTTCTTTTAAAGAGGATCCGATCTTAGCAATTTTGGAGCGGTGCCTCAGCAGAAGAAGCTGCAGGAGGAGCTTTCTGACTTATCAGCAATGGAAGATGCTTTGGACGAGTTGATTAAGGATTGTGCCCAGCAGTTGTTCGAGTTAACAGATGACAAAGAAAATGAGAGATATCCTTTAATTCTGTCCTTTAAAAAAAAAAAATTCTCCTTCCAAGGCAAAGGTTACTATAAATAGTAGGGTCAGCCTGGGAATTTCGTTAATATATTCAGGATACGAAATTAGACCTTTGGAAGTTTTAAAGTAACTAAAGGGTTAGTAGCATAGCTTCAGACATTGACAGATAATTGCCTTTTACTCTTGTGTGTGGCATTTGTTCAGGTTAAATGCTACATCGGGACCATGTGCCAAGGTTAATGTTAATGTTAATATCAAATTAAAATAGTGGCCACATTCTTGCTTGGATTTTTAGTCTGAATGCCATAAGGATAGTAAAATACGTGTTGGCTTTTGTGAAATTCAGGTTTTCCCTAATTTGTTAACTAAGGTTTTTTTTTTTTAATTTTTTTTTTTAATGTTTGTTCATTTTTGAGAGACAGAGTGCAAGCACAGGGGAGGGGCAGAGAGAGAGGGAGACACAGAATCCAAAGGAGGCTCTAGAGTCTGAGCTGTCAGCACAGAGCCCGAAGCAGGGGTTGAGCTCCCAAATGGTGAGATCGTGACCTGAGCCGAAGTCAGAAGCTTAACCGACTGAGCCCCCAGGCGCCCCACTGAGGTCTCTTTCTGAAACAGTGACATTGCCATTGAAAGGCAGTGGATGAGATGGCAGCTGCCGTTCTGGTTCACAAAGCCCAGTGTAGCTATATGTGTCCCTGGGACAGCAGGGCACACTTGTCTTTGGTGGCGAGCTTCTCCTGGGTCTCCCAGACCCATCTACTGCTCTGTTCTCACAGCACCTTTGTGAGGCAGCACCGGTTCTGAGCTGCTCCGTGCTTCGAGTTTACTTAAACTCCATCAGTCGGAGCCTGATTTTCACAGTACAGTTATCAGGAGGGAATAAATGCTGCGCGTCTGAAAGTCTGTGAAGTAAGCAGGAAGATGTTCGGGAAACACAGTACATCATATAATTGGTAACATTTCAGTAACCCAGTAAAACAAGAGGAGACAAATTCACGTGGGGAGATGGAAAATAATCTTGGATGTGATGGAAAATAACCTTGGATGTGGGAGATCCCGTGAGGGCAAGCTAGTCCTGGAACACCTGCTCTCTGAGTGCATCCACTTTTTTTTTCATAGATTTTTTTTCCACCTTGTGGTTTTGGAGATTTCTCATCAAAACTGAATATTTTTTCCCCAAAGGTTCTCATGGTTAGATCTAGCAGTGAACAGAGAACTGGGGGCAGGGAGCAGTTAAATACCTTCACCTGAGAGGGTGTGTGTATGTGTGTGTGTGTGTGTGTGTGTGTGTGTGTGTGTGAGTGTGAGTGTGAGTGATGTGTCGTGTCTGTAGACAGTGTCTCCTGAAATTGTCATCATAATCACCAGAGTAGGCTTTAAAGAAAGGAGTTCTTTGAGTTTTAAATATTGTAAAAGCATTGTGTAAAGTTTCAAGAATTGTTTGTGAGATAGTAAGAATCAGATATGAAATGATTTTTTGACTAATTGCTCTCCTCACGTGTGAGTTTGTATCCCGTAGAAGCTACGGAGATTCGAACATGACCCTGATGTTCACATACTGTCAGGATCAGTTTCCTCCTCCGTAAGCAGCATTCTGCTTAGAGACCCTTGACTGACGTTCATGCTGGCGTATGTGACGTACCAGGACATTCACAGCATCCAGGCCTTCCACGAGCAGATCGTCATCGCGGTGAAAGCCCCGGCAGAAACCAGACTGGACGTCCCGGCTCCCAGAGAAGTAGGCGTCCCTGAGGGGTTTAAGACCTTCTAAAGAAGGGCGGGGGGAGGGGCGCCGACTGCCCCGGCTGCTGTTGCAGTTGTAGTAACTTGGCTGCCATGTTGGTTGCATATCTGATGTCGCTTGAGGCACTTTACGTGGTTTAGCTTGTTTTGAACAATACGGCAGACGAAGGAGTCAGGATTATCATCCTCTTGAAGGTGAGACTTCGGAAGCGCAGAGAGATTAACGTTCTCATAATCACACAGTAAGTGACGGAACCAGAACTCAAGCCCAGCTGGTTTGGCCTCGCGGTACGTCCTTGACCGTTGTTCTGTGACGTCCCCGCGCTGCACGGTAACGCGCTGTAGTGCCCATGCCACGCTCTGGCCCACCGCGAGGCCTCCAGCGGGGTCTCCAGTGGGCCGCACTGTTGGAGTTCCACATTGGGTGTCAGGGCTCCAGAAATTGGCTCTAACCAAGCTCATAAGAGACTTAAGGATAAACAAGAACATTAGGTGGTACATTTAATCTTTTTTTTTTTTTTCATTTTTTTCACTCTTTATTTTTGAGAAAGACCTTGAGCAGGGGAGGGTCAGAGAGAGAGGGAGACACAGAATCTGAAACAGGCTCCAGGCTCTGAGCTGTCAGCACAGAGCCCGACGTGGGGCTCGAACTCAGGAACCGTAAGATCATGACCTAAGCCGAAGTCGGATGTTTAACTGACTGAGCCCCCCAGGAGCCCCTCAGTGGTTCAGTTGCTATGATGTAAAATTGCCGTATAAATGAAAGCATTCTTAAGAGCTGCTTAGCACTCTTTCCCTTGCAGAGTTTATATTGAAAGATAATTGTCATCAGGAGGTTGCTTGGTAAGGATGGAATCAGAACGGAGGAATGTGGCCTTTCTTGGGACCAACCATGAGTCCTGATGGCCCGATAGACCCATCGGTGCTCATAGTGACGCCTCCGCATTGCTCTAGGGGCTTTCGTCCCTCACACTGAGGAATATTCTTACCACTCACCTGCCCTTTCACCCCCACCAGGCCAGTGTGCAAGTGAGCACCCCCGCTGTTACCTGACAGTGTGTCAAGTCATTTAGGGGACAGATATTAATCTAGTCACACTCAAGTTGTGACTTCTTGGTGATGCGTTCTCATTATTTAGGTTTGGATATATTCCAAGTCTCCTAAGAAACATTTTTATTTAATAAAAGTTGTTTGAGAGATGTTTAAACTTTTTAAAATAACCGCTAATCTTTCAACACATCCTTACTGGGGACATGAGAGTCCGTTCTGCAGTGACCCACGGGGCCGCGGCCTCTCCCACCTGTGCTACAAGCTACTTCAGGCCACGGTTGCCAAACCTTGCCAAGGTTTTCGGTCACACCCGTGACTGAGAGTCCAGTTTGAAGGCGGAGGAACACGGGCCCCCTGGGCAGCCCTTCTCTGCAGCAGGGGAGGAGCGGGGCCGTAGACAGGAGCATGCTGCGTGCAGGGGAGCCCAGCGCCCCCAGAGAGCCAGGCCGAGACTGGGGAGCCGGGGCCAGCGCAGACGGACTCCCGGGCCGGGCTGGCGTGCCGGCTGTTAGGCGTCATCCTGGGACACAGCCACCTGCCCGTTTGTTTCCATATGGTCTCTGGCTGCTTTCGCTTTGTGATGGCAGACTGTGTCGTCGTGACACAGGGATCGTGTGGCCCAAGAAGCCCTTTACAGAAACCGTCTGTCGACTCTGACCTGCTGGCATACGGAGTCGTCCGCCGCTGTCAGTTCAGCAACATAGCAGTTTCTTGCGTTGAGGAACGTATTGTGATACAAGATAATACGGTTCAAACCAGACCCGGCCTGGCAATCTGGAGCCAAGCGCAGGGATACGCTCTGTGGCCTACGTGTCTGGTACCAAGAAGCCATAGAGCAGCTGACACGAGCTTTTGAGCCCCCCAATGGGCTGCATGTCACCAGCCCCTCTAGGTCACAGGGAGGTGTGGGGGGCAGGAGCCCTGCTGTGTGTACCCAGCCCGGGTGCAGCGCATGAAAGGGGCAGAGAACAGACCTCGTCACAGCTGAACCCCCTTCCAGTCAGATCAACAAGGAGTTGTTTATACCTGGAGCCCTTTCTTAAGAATTTAGCATAAATTGGTTCATTTCTGGGTTCTGGCACACACACAAAAATAGTAAGTTAGCATAACTGTCAGTAGAAGCACCCTATTTCCTGTTATCTTACAGAAAAAATAATCCTGAGTGATTTTAGAAAGCCGGAGCCAAAAAATGTGTGAATAATCGTAATTAATAGTCCTTTATATGCAGTACCTTTCACATATTTTTTAAGTTACTAAGGTATATTTTGTCTGTATTTCATCTTTCATTTTCACTGGGACAAAAGAAGGGCTCTTTGAGTTAACTCGGTACCTCTTCAGTGGTCAGAAAGTCTAAACACCCCCTTATTATTTGAGACCACAGGGGATTAGATTTCTCTGCCAGACGTGGATTCTGGTCCCTCAGGCACAGACTCCCAGGAGGGGTGGACCCCTTGAGTGGAGGAAAACGGCTCTTGAGTGCCGAAGGGGTCCCGGCGTGATTCCGATCGAGTAGTTGTTTACACTGCAGGAGTCGGCCCGTGGATTATCGGCCAGTGCTGAAGTGACTGAAGCCACGTACGTGGTTTTCTCAGATACGTGATAGAAAGCAAAGCACCCAGACTTAAGTTTCCAGCAGCACCCCTCAAATGGAAACTTGCAGTTCTAGTGGGGAAAAAATGTAACTAGCAAACCCGCATTCCTCCTGATGTGTCTTAATGCTGTTGTCTGTCTGTCTGCCAGGACTCTATCACAGTGCACATAAGGAGCACGAGAGGGCCCATCGATGTCTATTTATGCGAGGTAGAGAACGGCCACTCGAGTAGCAAAGCGTCTGAAGGTGCGGGCACCTCTTCAGCTAAAAACAAACACCCAGAACACCTTGACAAAGGTGAGTATTCCAAGTTTGTGATCGGGCAAGTTCAAGACTAATGGTTTTTTTTAATATGTATACATGAATGCATATTATGACCTTACAGATATTTTTACTTTTTCTAGCTGCAAAAACAAGAGTGAAAGAATTACAAGGTAATTTAGACTGTGAAACTACAGGGTAATTTAGACTATTTCTAACAACTTTATAGTTAAATACCATGCAGTTTTGATCTCGAAAGCTTAGAATCTACTTGGTCCCCCTGTGCTGCCTCCCGGTGTGGCCTCTGCATACAGAAGGTGTCCCCCTTCCGGCAGGTGCTGGCAGGTGCGCGCGTGACCTCACTTAACTCTTGTGAGACTTGGGCCCTTAGCCGTCTGCCATTAACAGAACAATGTGGCTCTTGGCCAGGGGTCTTCAGGGTTTGTTTTAAGCACTTGAATTATATGTCCGGTTACCTGTGCACCTTTCAAACCCTCACTCAGGAGACTTTCTTTCATGTTTGTTACTTTTCAGAAGAAAATCCTCCACAACAATGTGAAGAATTGCTTGAAGTGAGCAACTGATAGCGTTTGCAAATTCGTGTATGGAGTTTTGGGGAAGTATCCTGTACGGATGAATTATGCATCACATTTGATTCTCAGAGCAATAAATCATCCATGAAGTTCTCTCATTCTCCGTGACCGCATCAAGGCCAGTAGTGGCTCTGAGTAGTTCACTACTTAAGTTACTGATAATTATGGTTTCTACATTTGAAAGCAACTCTTTTTATGAGGATTCACTGCTTTTGGTCAGTGAACTTGACACCCTGCCCACTGAACTAAGTCTATCATGAAGAGCATCCCTGAGACCGGCAGTCGGGCCTGAAGCCGACCATGCTGGGCAGACCCTGGCCTTCCCTTCAAGGATCACGTGTCATTATCACGCAGGAAATTGCCTTACGCGGGTTCATGTCTGCAATTAGCTCTTGGATGAGTGCGCCAGGCATCTAGCTGTGACGTCTGTATATACCTGTATAGCGTTCAGACTGCTTACATACTGTGTCTTAGTAAAACTTCCCAGGCTTGTACAGCCAAAACAGTGTACATACGGAAAGTCACAGACAAATTCTCTGATTTCTGTGGTATCTATAACTTATTAGAATCCTCTGAACGGGGATTGGAGGAAAGTTTTTTCCCAGACTTCTACGTGTAGAAGTATCATGAATATGCTATACATCTAAACATCATGGATTTAATTAAAGTATTTCAGTCTGGTTCCCAGTGCTGAAGCGGGAATCTGACACTTCTGGATTTCAAGCTCCCTACTGTGTGCGGGAGGGTCCGGCGTGCCCTGCGGCCTTCGGGGTGAACGTAGAAATGCTGTCAGGTACTGGCTTCGTTCTTTGCAAGACATGAATTCAATCATGATGAAAATTAGAAACTTTTAACCTTTGTGCAGGCAGATTTTGTAATTTTCTGTACGCAGCCTCGCTTTTCAATCAGGGGGTTTACTTCTGACGAGTTCGTTGTACCCTGCCCTCTCTCCAGCTCTGGTCCCACGTTTCCAAGAACCTAGCTCTTTCTACCTCATTGGGTAAGTCATTTACCACTCTGTGCCTCAGTTTACTCCGTAGTTTACCATTAGACTGTGAGCTCCTTGAGGGACTTTGTCTTAATCATTGTTCTGCCCAGCGCCTTGCACCATGCCTGGCACGTAAGAAGTGCTCAATAAATGTTTGAATAAATCAGCGAGTGAGTGAATTGTAAAATTAGTCTAAAAACGCTTGTCAACGTCATTCAGATTCGTATTTTAAACTCCTCTCGCTCTGAGAGAGGTTTGAAAGTCGAAATTAAAACCATGTGTAAAAAAAAAAACAACCACATTAAAAAGAATCACCAATGAAAAGACTGAAAAATGATGCCGAGACGCTGACTGTTCGGGTCGATTCGCCTGTGAGCTGCGCGGGGCGATCGGCAGAGGTCCGCGCGCGTGAGGGGGGTCCGCTGGGGCAGGGGGCGGCCCGTGCACGTGTCTCCCTAAGAGAAGTCCGGAGCCCAGAGCCCCTCCTGAGCGGGAATGACGGGCGGGGCCTCAAGCCAGCAGCTCGTCCCACACGTGGCCCCGCGCCGTCGTGGAGGCAGAAGGCCTCCCGCAGCCGGAGCGCCTCCAGGAACGAGCGTCTCTTCCGTCACCCTGGTGCTTGTCTCTGATCTTCACAGCTGCCCGGGCGGCCGTCCTCCGGCCCCGGGGGCCCCGCGTCGCTCCCCCGGCTCGGGGCTGAGGCACAGCCGAGCGTCCGCCTGGCTCCTCCAGGCCGCGGTCCACACTCGCGGCGCAGAAGGCCTCCCCGCCTGCTTTCCAAAGGGCGTCACTCGTCCCGCAGGCCCCGACCCGGACCCGCTGGTGCGGCTGCTGGGCCCCAGCCGCGCCGCGCTCCCGCCCTTCTACCCGGAGTTGTCCTCTCTGCAGAATCACGTCTCCATCGGGGCCTGCCCTCGCCCCCCCTCCCCGCCCTCGCCCCCCTCCCCGCCCTCGCCCCCCTCCCCCCGCTCCCTGCCCTCGCCCCCCCCGCCCCCTCGCTCCCTGCCCGCGCCCCCCCCCCCCCCTCCCTGCCCTCGCCCCCCCTCCCTGCCCTCGCCCCCCTCCCCCGCTCCCTGCCCTCGCCCCCCTCCCTCCGCTCCCCCCCGCCCTCGCCCCCCCACCCCCCTTCCCGCCCTCGCCCCGCTCCCTGCCCGCCCCCTCGCTTCCTGCCCTCCCCCCGACCCCTCGCTCCCTGCCCTCGCCCCCCTCCCCCCGCCCTCCCCCCCCGCCCCCTCGCTTCCTGCCCTCGCCCCCCTCATCTGCTCTGGGCCCTCCCGGCGGGAGTGAGGCGGCCACGGCGGCTGTGTCCCTCGCGGTCCCGCGGGGTTTTGCTGGTGGGTAAGAGAAGTGACCTGATTTCGCTCAACCTAACTCCCAGGGGTTTTAAAACAAACCCTGATTTTGCAGAAACACCGACCCAGACGCTGAATTTTCGCTGGAAGAAAAAAAATGACCACCCTGCACCAGTTTTGCATGTTGTTAACTCCCAGCACGTCAGCCCGACCGCCCCGCGCCCCGGGAGAGGGAGGACCCTGCGCAAGGACCCCACTTTCAGGAGGGTGGCTTTACACTTGAGACACTTATGACGCCTCCCGTCCCTCCCTTCGGACCCGGGGTTTGGCACCAGGGACGCGTGTATCAACTGGCGTCGAGGTCACACGAGTGGTCGCGCCGCTCAAGGCTCCAGGGCCCTGAGACAAAACCGGCATTTCTCGTGGGAACAGGAGTGAAAAGTCGTGTCTCAAAATCTAAGAAATGTGGGCGCCTGGGTGGCTCATTGAAGCGTCTGACTTTGGCTCCGGTCATGATCTCATGGCCGTGAGTTCGAGCCCCGGGTCAGGCGAGCACGACAGCCCCCTTCAGAGGAGCCCTGCCTCTCTCTCTCTCTCTCTCTCTCACTCTCTCTCTCTGCTCCACATTCACTTGCTTCCTCTCTTTCTCTCAGAAAGAATTTACTTTTCAGAAATCTGCTCCTTGATTATCTACCAGAATCAAAACCGAGGGGGCACCTGGGTGGCTCAGGTGGTTAAGCGTCAGACTTCAGCTCAGGTCATGACCTTGCAGTTCGTGGGTTCGAGCCCCACGTAGGGCTCTGTGCTCACAGCTCAGAGCCTGGAGCCTGCGTTGGATTCTGTGTCTCCCTCTCTCTACACCCCTCCTTATGCTCTGTCTCTCAAAAATAAACGTTAAAAAAAATTTTTTTTAAATTAAAACTCGAAATCAGAATAAAGTCACATAAGTCTTTAAAGCGAGTCGCCCTGTTGCCGTGTTTCCGAGTTGGCTCAGCCCGTTGCCGTGGGCCGCGCGGCTGCAGGCATCCGTGCCGACGACCCGGCCATGCCTTCCCGCTTCTGTCCCTTGCTCTGACAGCTTCCCTGACCACTGAGGACAGAGCCGGCAGCTTGTTCGCCTCGGGCCCCGCTGTGCTCACAGGTGGACGGGCTGTGCGGGCGGCCGGGCCGGGGACAGGACGTGGGCGCTCAGAGAGGAAGGAGAGTCGAGCCGAGAGAAGGGGGAGAAAGCAGCGAACGGTGCAAGGAGGAGGGAGAGAAGGAAGGCTTTTCCGGAGCACCGCGCCCGCCTCCGGGAGGACTCTGAATTGGAAGCCCGCCACTCCGGGCCTCTGCTGCCCCCTCAGGAGCAAAGGGTGACTTTTGCGGCGACGAGCTTGGAAAACCGAACTGGCTTCGGGCCTTCAGAAGGCTCGGGCCTTCCTGAGTTTTCTCTGTCTTCCTGCCGGTGCAAGGGGCTTCCCGCCTCGCCCAGGGAGAGCGCTGCAGGTGCTCGGGGATGTCGGCCCCGCGGGGCCTCTGGCAAAGTCTGGAAACACTGTTTTGGTCTGTATTTAAAGTTTATCTTTCTGAAGAGAAGAGTTCCAAGACTAGTGCGCCCTGAAGGTAGGACATTTAAGAACATAAATAAACTGGGGCGCCCGGGTGGCTTAGTTGGTTAAGCGTCTGACTTTCGCTCAGGTCATGATCTCGCGGTTCGTGGGTTCAAGCCCCGCGTCGGGCTCTTTGCTGACTGCCAGCTCAGAGCCTGGAGCCTGTTTCAGGCTGTGACTCCCTCTCTCTCTGACCCTCCCCTGCTCACGCTGTCTCTCTCTCTCTCTCTCTCCTAGAAATAAATAAAACATTAAAAAAAAAGAACATAAATAAACTGCTACCTTATTCCCATTATTTAACCTGGTGGTTGGTTCGTTAAGTTCAAGTTGTATATTGGTCTGAGAGTGATTGGTGGTGATGAAACTTACCCCAAACGATGAGTCGTGACATATCTGGGCTTTGAAAGGGTGCCACCGTCCTGAAAACGCAATTTCGGTCAAGGGTAAATACACGGTTTATGCCACGTGTTTTAGGCTGTCTAGTTGATGTCTCGTGGTAGGTTTTGGGAACGGTCCCCACGACAGGCTTCAGTTCACAGAGGGACTTGGGTAGTGAATCACAGGCATCCGGCACCACAAATGTAAGACTGTCACCAGCACTGTTCACGCACCTCCTCTGTCACCCTGTCTGATGGCCACGCCCTCCACCCTCGGGAAAACTGTCATTTTCCTGACCAGTCCCCGGACTGTGGGGCCCATCAGCCTTAAGCACTCCTCCCGGCCCGCCCGTCGCTCCCCCACACCACACACACACACACACACACACACACACGCACATGCACACGCACTTCATTATGAATTGGGACTTGCATTAAGCCACCTTAAGGAATTTAAGATCTGTCATTCTGGTACCAAGTAGCGCCGTAAGCGTGAAGTCCCATGGAGGGCTTTTTAATGCACATTTCCACGCCTGCCCTCGGAGCTTTTAACTCTATTGTTCTAGGTGAGGAGTCGCCGTATTTCTCTCTCCTCTCTGACGGCGTGACTATCAGGTGCCACGGTGTGGACGTCCTCGGTTTCTTGTGTGGACTGAACCTGAACGTCTGCTTCTTCCCCCGGGCTAGGGAACTTTTCACCTATTATTTCTTCAAATAACCTCTCTGCCCCCTTCTCTTCTGGGACCCCTGCAATGTGAATGTTTGCTTGCTTAATGATGCTCGCTTAATGATGCCCCTTCACCCATCCTCATTTCTAACAATGCTTCCTTTCTGCTGTTCACTGGGGGTGCTTTCCATCCCTCTGTCTTCCAGATCACTGATCTGTTCCGCACCCGCTAATGTACTGTTGACTGCCTCTAGTGTATTTTAAGTGAGCTCTACAGCCAACCTGGGACTTGAACTCACAACCCCGAGATAAGACTCGCACACTTTGCCAGCGGAGCCAGCCAGGCGCCCTTCAAGTGTATTTTTCATTTCAGTTATTGTAGTCCTGCGCTCTGATTGGTTCTTCTTGATACGTGCGATCTTTGTGGATGTTCTTGCCGAGTTCCTCCACGCCTCTCCAGTCCGATGCCGTCTTTAGGACCATTACTTTGAACTCCATCAGGTAGATCGTTCATCTCCATCTCATGTAGTTTTTTTCTGAGGTTTTGTCTTGTTCTTTTGTCTGGAGCATATTCCTCTGCCCCATTTTGCTTGACCTCCTGTGTTTGTTTTAATGAATGAGGCAGAACAGCTACTCCATTTAAACTCGAAGGCACGCTCTTGTGTCCGGTCATGCCCGGTGTGGACTATGCCGGTGACTCCGGCTGGAGCTGGGGCTGGTGTGGGTTGGGGTTCCTGGGGTGCTTTGTTCTGGGCTGCTCCGGTGGGACAGCAGGAGCTGAAGCGGGTGCAGGCTGCGATGTCCGGGGACACATGGTACGGGGTTCACCCGGTGGGGCAGCCGGAGCCAAGGCAGGCAGGCTGGGGGACTCTCAGTTAATGCTGAAAATCGAAGGGGAGGAGGGGCGTTCCTGGGAAAGGAACCTGTAACAGACTTGGCATTGGAGTGCCTTATTAGGGTTTAATGCAGCAGCAAGTAACAGAAAAAGCCCCAAAAACCAGTGGCTTAGAAAAGATGCAGTTTATTTCTCAACATGTGGGGGGGGTCTGTAGATAGTTCAGAGCTGGTATGATTATCGAGGGGGTCAGGGGCTGAGACACCTTCCAGGTAGTTTTCTTCATGCTTTACAACTTAACCTTTTACATAAGTGTATTTATTTATTTATTTATTTAAGGAGAGAAAGTGTGAGTGGGGGAGGGGCAGAGAGCATCCCAAGCAGGCTCCATGCTGTCATCCAGAGCCCGACACAGGGCTCGAGTCCACGAACCACGAGATCATGACCTGAACCCAAGTCAGGCACTTAACTGAGCCCCAACAGCTTAACCATTTCGATTGAAAAAATGTAGTCATTATTGGGGGGCAGAC